AGGCGGCCGGTGGCGGGGAGTGAGCCGCCGGTTCTACCGCGTGGTCCCTATGTGGCGAATCTGCGGTCGCGAATGCCCAGGCAAAGCACGAGGAGGGCGCGACCGTTGGCGCCTCGCGCGCGTTTGGCGCCTTTCGCGGCGCCACGAGGAGCAGCCGCAGGATTTAATCCAAAGGCTGCGCTCCCTTGGGATGCTGTGAGGAAAACTGAGGCGTTTCTGTGTGAGGGAAGGCGTGGAGGAGATAGAGGAGGCCGCGGAGCCGCCTGCAGCACCGTGAAGGCTGGTCATAAGGGCTGTGAGAAAGTTACAAATCTGTGCAGATTTTGGACTAAACTGGGTGGAGAAGCTGTAGTACTTAGCAGCTGAGTTGTCAAAGGTTGTAAGTTAAACAAGGCAGGGAGCTTTGGAATAATCTGGAACAGTTTATTGCAGAAATGTGAAAAAAGAGTCATGTATGGAGGTGAAAAGCTTGCATATACAAGCCTTTTTTTTAGAAGTACATCTCTCAGTTCTGAATTTCCAAAGAACGTGAACATTTTCAGACATCAGTGTTCTACCAATTGTTGAAGTGCCTGAATTCAAAATAAAGAGTAGAGTTGGGAGCTGAAATACTGCAATATGGCTAATAAGATGAAAATCTTGACCCCTCTAAATGAAGATTTCGGTGGATCTAGTGAATATGGCAATTGAAGGAAAGTCAAGCAGTGAATATCACTGGCAAGGTAGGAAGCAGAAACATATGTTGTTTTTATTTTAATTAAAGGAGTAGGATCCTGTGTCGTTGCAAGTCAGGCCCATTTCTTGATGCCTACACTTCCTTAAACAAGTTTGTCCGTCTTCCTAAACACGTTTCAGTGGATGAAGAAAGAAATACTCTGCCCTCACCCACGTCCAGTTTGTGACCACAGTGAAAACTGGTTGAAGAAGAATTCGATGATCTGCGTTTTTTATTTGGTAATTAAAAGAATGTAAGAATCCACAAGTTCCTCAGATAATCACCTAAATCAGCTTCTTTTCAGCTCACCGATTTAACATCCATAGGTTTTTTGAAGAACAGGTGAGAAAATTGTTGTTGAGCTGCTGAATATAACCCAGTTTTGCCCTTGGTTTTGACTTCATGCATTCCTCCATAATATGTTAGGAACATCAAGTTATTTGAGTCACTGAGTTGCACTAGATAAGTTAAAAACAAAAGAAGCACTGTGGTTTTGAAACATGTACTTACTTGCAGTGTATTTCTGCTTGTCTGCCATCTTTTCGATGGTAAACTTTGCATGCCAGATGATATCTTCATACTTTTCTTGGTGCAACGCTCAGAACAAAGTGCTTGAGATCCAGTCAGGATTACAGGATGTACCAAAAAATAGTAGTTGTTGCAGGCCAAGAAGGATGCGCTCTCTGCCTGTTACCATCAAAATTCTTAGCAAATTTAGGACTTACTAATTGTAGAGAAAACTTATAAAAAGCACTCAGCTGCAGTGCTACAGATTTTCTCACTGATTTTTTATTGTATTATTTTTCTTTGTTAGTCCGTTCTTAAAATACACATAGTCGAACTCACAAAATATGCATGGTCAAACTTAGTTTTATTACTTTTTATTGTAGTACTATCATTTACTTTGGTAAATTCATATCCCTGTTTAAAGTGCCTTAAAGCAATTAAAACTTAGTTCAAGTATTGTAAAATGTACACAGTATAAGCACAAAGAAACACTGCATAGTGAAAATGGCAGGCTATTACATTCAGGATGCCAAATACTCAAGTATTAACAACACCGGATCTGTATTGAGGTTAATGATACTTACATATTTTAAGAGCATCTTTGCATATGTTTTTTTTGTTTTGTTTTTAGAAAATGTTTTAAAATGCATTTCAATCAGTATGACAGTTGTGGTATAAACTATTACAAGGTTTCATCCGTCGTTATGAGTATGCAGAGGATAAAATACGTAATTTTCATTTCCTGTTATGGGTATGCAGTAGTGAGTAATTAGGAGGATAAAATACGTAATTTTCATTTCCAGAAAGAGAAAACAATTTCTCTTTTACAAAGACAGCATATGTCAAGATATAAAGATATAGTTTAACTCTTAAATATTTGATGAAATACTACAAAATAACAATAATAATGAGAAAATTAAAGGGCCATACCCAGAGTAGAAAACTAGTAGAAGTTAGATTCTTGAAATCTAACCTCCTCGTCCTTCTCCCTTTCCTTTAAAAGACTTAACATTTTTGTTTTGTTAATCAAAGTAGATACTTGCTAAGGTTTTATATTCTAGCAAGACAGAGACCATGTAAGTCCCTCTGCAGTTTATTTCCAGAGCCCATGACCCTTGTGCTAGTTTGCAGTGGGTTAGGGTTTGATGGAAGGAATACTGCAAGACCTCCTCATTACCAGCCTGACTTCGATGTCCGGGAGCATTTTCTGCTTGGTGTGTAAACATCCTTCATCGGTCGCTGCCAGGTGGAGATCAAAGCGCAGGGAAACGGATTTTTTCCTTAGGCGAGGGTTGTCTTTAAAGAAGGAACCTTCCCATTCTTTGATAACTTCATCCACTTTTTCTGTCCTGCAACCAGCAAGCAAATGTATTTGTGATCCTTTAGGCAGTATGTGTGTGTTCAGGATTGCTTTAAAATGTAACAAGAAATTGCGTAACAGAGTAATACAGTGCCAACTTGTTTTAGTTGGGTTCTGAGATCCCTCCTTTCTTTTTTACAGTTGCGTTCTCAGGAAAGCTAAATAAAGGGCAAAATTTCCTTATTTTTGTGCTTTAAGTTGACATGGATGCAAAAGAAAGCCATTGCTCTAGTGGCACCAGGCAGCTTGCTACCAAGGAGAAAGTTTGTAATCTGGTTGCAAATTGCTTGTAAGAAGCTGCTGTACTATAGTGGGCAAGACAGAATTTGTGCAGCTGAAAACCTTCAAAGAAAGGGAGAGGTGGAAGATCTAATTCTAGAGCCAACCCTCAGAATGTAGTTCCAAAACTACTTAAAACTTCATAAACTTGGAAAGAAAAGGCTGAACTGAAATACGGAGAAGTGAAGGTGCAGCTGCTTCGCTGAAATATCAAATATCCCCAGTATTGATTTAATCCTAGTGTATTTTAGGATCTGTTTTTAAATTATCTGTGCAAGATGCACAAATTATGTATTCAAATAAGCTCCATGTGTGGAACGTGTGTATTAGACCATAGGCATGTATTTTTTAATAAGAATTTATACATGGTTTCAGCAGGTAATTATAGTTAAGTATTAGTGACATGGTACACTACAATTTATATTAAATGTTATGTTAGATGCTAGTTTACAAAAGAATTAAAGAGCAGAAGAATGATGCAATCCAGCACTAGTAGAGTTAAGATGAATAGTATGTACTAAACAGGCTTTCACATGCTCACTGAGGAACCTAGTTTGAAGTTCCCTAAATTTACACATGTAAATATATATTTGCCCTAGAGGGAGTTTGCATACATGATATCATCTCTTTTAGCCACACCTGAATTATGAATATGAATTCCCAATTAGAAGCAGCATTATGATATCAATAGCTTATTAAATAAATGCTAATGAAGAATCTTTAGAATCTAGTTAATTAGTGACATTTCAGTCAATATATCTTACTATAGGACATCTTTGCTCTATGAAAAAGATAAAACATGCTAATAAAAGAAGACAAGATACTGAAAAGCAGTGCCCCCCATTTACTTATAGTTGCTACTTTGTTAAATTGACATTTTCTTACTGTATAGTGCCATGAGCTTCAGCACTTTCCTTGGTAATATTGCCATCTAGGATGGCTTGTTTTGACACCAATTCCACCTTCTCTGCTTCATGCTTCTTTACACCATCTATAAAAGAAAATGCGGATGTACAAGGCAGGCATACACAAATTGCAAATTTTTAGCATTATATTGATTTTGCTGTGAAAAACAACTATGTGATTTACTGCTTAGGAAACTCAGATGAGGGAAGAGTTTTTTTGTAACAAACTTACTTGAAGGCAGGGTAAAGGCAATCTTGCTAGTAGTAGTTTTTTTATCATCCTTTTGGTCAGGTATAGAACAACGAAACCTGCAAAAGGAAAAATTATTGCAGTCATCTAATACTGAATTATTTTAATCTGCAGCTTGCGTTAGGAGCAAGTGGGGGAAATCTAAAAAACGCAGGAGCCATGATTGATTGTATAACTATTTGTTATTATATAACTATTCCAATTGATTGTATAACTATTTGTTATTGTATAAATATTCTGATTGGTTGTATAACTATTTGTTAGGATTTCTTATATTTTGAGCAGAGAACCAAAGCAAGTTGGTGAAAAATTTTGTGTACATTTCAGCATTGTTTTCTCATCTTTCCTCAGGTTGCTGTTAGCTGGGAAGAGTATTTAACTTCATTGAGACTGAGCTGTATATCTGAGCTTTCATAGAGTTAAAAGTATTAAATAAGAGACAGACCCCCTGTCTGGGACCCCGCCGAGCTGGCACACACTGGGGTTTTGGGGCTGAAACCCACTATTTTCTCTAGCAGTGCCCAAGGGAGGCAGCATTCCCTCGAAAGCCTTTATGTGTAATGATGTGGAGCAAATGATTAATAGCATGTAAGATTAAATGTATGTATTTATACATTATATATACACATATTTTCGCTTTAAAATTTTTATTTATGAACATATATACAATGAAAATAGAGTGTTTTCATTGCAAATTGTTGTGAATTAAATGATTTTCACAGTTGCTGTGTTGGAACGCAAATTGTCTATAGAAAGTCTAAAAGCTAAATTCGACAAAGCCAATTAACATATGTAAGTATCAACATAAAAAAATAGGGGAATGCTTCAGGCTTTGTGAAAGATACCTTTCAGTGTCCTGGAGCTTGTGCATGAAATCATTTAAAATGTTAGATTTTGAGCATGTGTATATATATGTGTGAGTGTATATATACATGTTCATATAAGATAAAACATTTTAAAGGGTTTTATAGTGTAATACACATGTATTTTTTTTAAATGATTGGTTCATGTCATCACAGCTATGATGGTTGTTTCAATGAGTTCTGAAATGAAAGATGAATTTGAGCATTCTTTCCCAACAAATACCTGTTCTCTTCTTGCTCAAGCAGACTGCGATATGTTGCTATTTCCTCCTCCAGTTTCATTCTAGTGTTCAGTAGGATTTCATGCTCTTGAAGCTGTTTCTCAATCCCTCTTCTCACTTCCTGCAGCTCTTTCTCTAAGCTTTCAATCTCAGCTTCTAAATTTTGAAGTTGCATATGGTACTGCTGCTCTGTGGCACGCAGTGAACGTTCCAAACCCTTTTCCTGTTAAATTTAACTCATATTTTAAGATTTAGAAAGTATGTGTAAAGATGTAATACATACTTTTCATTAACAATCAGACAGTGTATGTTTAAACCATTTCTTTTAAGTCTATTTTTAGCAAGAGAAGTAAAGCTTTTAAGATAAAACTTTTACTGATAATCTTCTCTCTGAAATGTAAAATGATTCAAGATAGAATTTTAAAAAAGTAGCATCTCGTTTTACCAGCAATTCACTACTGCTGTTTTCATAGGTTGATGATACAAAACTGAGTGGTCCATACACTCTGTATCCTACCTACATTACCAAATTCAGTAAATTTTGAGTATCATTTTACCATGCTTACCACAGCATGGAGTGATTCAATTTCAATTTGCATGTGGTGCCACTGGCGTCTGGCTTCACTGAGTTCTGCTCTGGCTGCCTTTAATGCTTCTGCATCTCTGTCCATTCTTTTAATTGTAGCTTCTTCTAGCTACAGTAGATACAGAAAAGATAACAGTATTAAAATATTTAAATAATGTAAAAATACATATATATCTCTAATTGCGATATTTTTAGATCCATATTAATTTGGTAAAGCTAGCCGTGATTAATTAGTCTTTATGGTATAGCGAGGAACCCGCTATGCTGCTGCTTGGGAAGGAAGAAGGTTGCATACTGTCCATATGTACGCTCATACCCATGGTTTTAGTCTTTAGTTCAGGTCTTAGCAAGCAGGTAACATAAAATAAGCCTTTTTTTTGCTGGTTTTGTTAATATACTCACTTACTGTCATTTCAGCAGCTCATAATTTTGGTGAACAATCTACATTCGACTAATCCACAAGAGAACACTTTCCAGCTCAATATTCTTTTCTTGTCCTTTTGTGCCTAGGTACTGCAGAGTTTATGAGACCAGATTATAGCAATAGACTGGTTGCTTTGTGCCAAACACAGGAGGGAATTTGGCTTAGTCTAGTTTATGGTTGCTCTGTGTCGTTGGAGGACTGTGTAGATTAGCTGACCTGGGGTAGGTATTTTGGCCTGGATTAAAAAGCAGCCCCAGAATTTCTGCAATACCTACGTACAACTGAGTGATATAATACATATTTTTCAGCCTGGATTTCCTGACATTTAATGGTTGTAAATGGTCTTTTTTTTCTTATTTTATTACAAGGCTTGGTTGTGTTTTAGAAATGTCCTCTATTTAAATTTATAAGTGTGTATTGATAACCTTTAATAAATCTACACGAAAGAATAATATTTGCTGAAAAGTATGACAATTTTACTGAGAACAATATAAAATACTTCTTGAGAAGACACAGTTTTACAGAAGTGCTAAGAACTGTAAACCTTCTTTGTATAAATGGCTTCCGTACAGTCTCTTTGATTTTTATGATGCTCTTTCCTTTGGGATAACTAAACGGAGCTATGCACGTTACTGCAGATGTCATCATTTCTTAAATCACAACGATATCACCGTTGCAGGCACAGCAGAAAATCCAGATGCATTACCCAGTATTCCTTCCGTGTGCATTCCGCACTCTAGGCAAAGCATATTTCCCTGTCTTCTAGCTCAAGTCTTACTGCAGTAAAATCCACATCCCTTCCCCGCTGCTCTGCTGCATTGCAAAGGCAATCCTGTACCTCCTGGAGAGCGAGGCAGGAATTGCAGAGAGCAGGATGGCCCCCCGGCAGGTGCGTGCGTGTGCGGAGCCATTACCTGGGTCCTTGCTGAGCGGGGGGTCGTTATCTGATTTCTGCTGCTGAGCCCTTCATAGTTTGCCCTGATCCCACCGAGGAGCTGGGACAGCTCCATTCCCTTCCCATCCTCCACCCTCCGAACGGAGCCTCCTTGATAGGATGAGGCGGCTGCTGCAGAGCCGGCGCCCGCAGTGAGAGCAGAGCGCGGGGAAAGCACGGGTGAATTTTAAAGCTGCAGAGCTCTGTTTTTGAGGAAGCACTGGAAGCTCAGAGCCTTTCAATTGTTTATTTATATTTATTTATTTATTTTTTGTAACAGGTTTAGTAACACAACTACCTACTGCTTTTGCAGTGATTAACATAGTAATATCTAATAATGTGCCGAAAATAATATACACAACGTCTTTGTGGTTTCGTTACACCATAAATTTTGTTTTTTACAACCTAGCCTTCCTGAAGAGTTGAAAGGCAAAATTACAGTTGTGTAGCTTGAGAGCACAGTGAGAGAATCATAGAATCATGGAATGCTTAAGATTGGAAGGGACCTCTAGAGGTCATCTAGTCCGAGCGAGGGAAGGGAGCGGTGTCCCGCCGGGCACGCACGGAGCTGGCGGTGCTGCTGCCTTCCCAGGAGGCTCCCGGAGCACAGGGCACATGGGGACAGGGCCACGTTTGCATCTTTGAGAGTTTTCAGGACTCGACCGGGCAGTGGTGTGGCCGACCTCGTGTATGCTGGGGATTGTCCCGCTTGGAGAGCGTTGGGCTTCGGGCAGCCTTTCAGCCAGCGATTCTGTGGGCTGGGAACACAAAAATACCAGCCCTGCTCTTGTTGCAAGGGGTTTGGCTGCCCTTTGGCAGAGGGCACAGACTGGTGAGCACACGCTGAAGACAAAGAAGTGCAGTCCAGAAATGTGTCGCTCATGTTTCTGAAGGAGGTTACAGTGCATCGTTGCCGTTTGTGTTACTGTGTTCACAGTATGTGCATGTGGAAGATCCTTCCACATTCCTTTGAGCGCTACCGGGCAGGTAGAAGAGATAGGTTCCCTTTTTGCTCTTCTGTGATTTCTGTAAAGAGCATCTTTTTATAAAGAAAAGTGTTGTACCCCTTAAAATTCTGCTGTTATGTGTAAGGCTTCCTTGTTCTTGGCTCTGTCTTTTGGCACCTGTAAAAGGATCCTGTGTTTCAATCCTATTTTTCTTAGTTAGCTGCTGTTCTTCAACAGAGCTGGACTGAGATGAGACTATTTTGCTCTCTACTGTCTTTTCTATAAGTGTTTTAATAATTCTAGTTCAGTTGATTTCAAAAACAAAATACACTATTTTTCATTCATGGTATGAGAATATTCAGATAATACAAAAGAAAAAAAAATTAGAAATCAATCAAAGAAATTTGACATGTTACACCTTAGGACATTTTGAACTTCAATAGGAAGAGCCTATGTATTCAAGCAAACAGCATTAAATGTAATTTGAATTCTTCCTTTTCCTTTAATTTGCAATACTAATTCTTTACAGTGAGTTTTAGGTTCCCTGGAACTCAGAATGTCTTCAGTTTGCATGAGTCAACGTCAAGATTGTTTAGCACGTTAAAAGAATAATCCCAAAGTGTGCAGTTTTGAAACGCAGTAGACTTCTGCAAGCACATTGGCTTTGGTGCCAGGAGCTAAACTTTATGCCCCAAAATATGTCTATGCACAGATCTTATTATTTGGGGCTCAATAGAAGATGAAAGCTTGCCAGATGATACCATTTTAAAAACAGATCAGCCCTAAGGCGTTCTTTTTCCTAATTTTCTTTCAGGTGCAAAGAAAGCTGGGTACGAGATTCCTGAAGCATGAAGGTAGGTGAAAACAACTTTGTTTATACATAGATTTGCACGGCTCTATTTCTGGAATGTATTTCTACTGACTCCACTGTCATATTTATCAATATATAATGCAGAGCTGCATGACCTGTAGTTGTCCATAGTCCTTACTATTCACATTTCTGTATTTTGCCTCAAGTTATTGGTTACTGTTTTGCAGTTTTTCAGTGTGTTGAAGGGAAGGCAAATACCTTTCTTCTAGGCTACTTACGTTAATTGAATGTGCTCAAATAGGGTGGCATAATAGAAGTTAAATGGTTTATTTTCTGTTTTGAGAGTATCTTCACATATATTTTTCTGTTCCTGAATGGGGGTTTATGAAATGCGTCTGTTGTTTTGAGGAGCGAAGTGTATGATGATCTATAAACAAATGTAAATTTTATTCATTTAAATGCTATCATTTACCTTGCTAACAGTCAAAAAAATTAACTTGATATTTTCAAAGAACTGGATGGAAATTTTAAGGGGGTTGTGCTCTGGTTTATTATTGTGTTCTGGATGAGATTCTTTAAAGCAGTGCATTTGAGTGGAGTTCAGGAAGTCAGGTTTATTCAGAAGATGAGCCCGTGTTCCCAGCAGGTGGCACTCGGGGACATCTGAGCACTGCTTTGCTGCTGCTGTCAAACGAATGTCGCAGTCTCTATTTTCCTGCTCTGCTTACAGCATTCCTACATGGTACAGTATGTTGTTCTGCTTGCTCCATCCTTAGGATTGCTGTACACTGAGGTTTCTCAATTGCATGCTATTGAGTACTGCTTTAATCCCACCTTTAAACAGTTTTATTTATATGCTTGTTCTACCAGGGGATTAACTTCCTTACACGGTGAGTGAAGGCCAACATGTGCACACATGCACAGAATACATGGTAAAATACCCAACAAAAATAGCAAATGTGGATCATGAGCTGCAATCCTAAACTGTCACAGAAGGGGTGAAAGGTGGTTTAAAGCTTGCTGAGTTCTTTTTTATTACTCCAGAAAACTAGAAGAAGAGGTTTGAACAGCAAAATTATTTTACCTATTAATTAAACATATTTCAAAGCAACTGCAAGTATATCTATTTAAATGCCTAATGTGTGCACCATGTTTTCGGTTACTGAACAAAGTAATGATGTAAATGAAGTAAAGTGGTATTACATTTAAAGTACATGGTGAAAATAATACAAGACAATACTTAAAGACTGAAGCAGAAATTATGTTGCTTGAGAATGAAAAATATGTTCCATTTTGCATAGAAGAATCATATCAAATAAGCCAAACTATCACTTCATACAAAAGACCAAAGATTGTATTGACTACTGCTTTTAAAGAAGAATGGAATGAATGGATCTGTTACAATAGCAGATTGTGTCATATCTTCTCTTCAACTTCCTTAACGTGGGATGCAACAACTTTTCCATCTACTACCTCCTCAACAATTGTTTTGATCTTTCTAGTTTTTGTAGGATCTAAACATCAGAAACAAAAAAAAGTATTTACTAAAGTATTAAAAATTGCAAAACACAGAACATCATGCTGACATAATAAAAAGTTCCATCCTTTTTCCTTTCAAATTGGTTTCTTGTTATGATGATCTTTCTGACATGGTTAAATCAGAGAGCATACATTATTTCAGTTACAAGAATGGTTTTGAAAGTAATATTATTGGGAATTTTCATGACCATGGTGACATCATTTAGAATTCTGTGCGAGTACTTAGAAGTTCTATATCAACTAGTTTTACTAGTAAGGTAAAACAGCTTACCATGTACAGACATTAATATTTATTTGAAATTTAATGGGCTGCATTATTATAGCAGGTGTAAAAATAAATTTTATTCAGTCAAGATGTACCTACCCTGAGAAGAATCCAGTGATTGTGTTTGTGATTTGGACCCCGTCAAAGATGAACTTTCAAATGTAACTCCCTGTCCTGCGCTCCTAAAAATAAATTGTAGACACATGTAAGATTGCAGAATGTTTACCAGGATCAGGGGGAATAAGATTATTCCTTTCATTCATTGGTTAATATAAATACAGAGTAGAATGGTTCAGTCTCCCCAGATAGGTGATATGTTTAAATAAGAGCTACCGACAATAATTATGTCAAAATCTAGTATGTGACTCATTGTCTTTTAGTGAATGGACCCGTTGTTTATGCCTCTTCTTTCTCCCAGAAAAGGATATTGCTCTAGAAGTTAAAATAGAGAAGATATTTTATGTGAATTTGTTACTTACACAAACTCGCCATCCAGCAAGCGGCGGTAAGTCTCGATCTCCATTTCCAGACGAGACTTGATGTCTAGAAGCTGCTGATACTCCGCGTTCTGCCGCTCCATATCGGCCCTGACCTGGAACAGCTGAGACTCCAGATTCCCAATCTGCAGTTGCATTTGGGAAAGCTGAGCACAGTAACCGCTCTCTGTTTCTGCCAAAGTGTCTTCAAGGGATTTTTTCTGTGGAAGAAGGATATTAAATAAACTGAGAAAAGAAAAAAAATCTTTGAAATTACGAAAGCAACTAAAATGGTTTAATGAGAATAAGTAGAGGTTTGTTACTAATGGTTAGACTTGAACAATATTTTTGAAGGTGGAAATTTTACACTGACGAGGTAACCCCGGACTTCCCCTCAACCTACCATGGCAAGCTGAGACTGTAGCTCAATTTCCAAGCTCTGAAGAGTCCGTTTTAGATCTGTGATTAAATCCTGACTGAAGCTGCTCAGTATTGGTGGTGATTTCCCTTTTCAGCTCCCCACTCTGTAATGTCAAGGAAGGATAGTGTGTAATTTCACTGTTTCAAAAATTCAACTGATTTTTACAGTTATTTGACTGAATTTGCCGTGTCCGAGGTAGTTACTTTTTCATTGAACCAGGCTTCAGCCTCTTTACGGTTTTGCTCGGCGATGACTTCGTACTGCCCTCTCATGTCATTCAGGAGCTTGGTGAGGTCGATTCCTGGAGCCGCATCCATTTCCACGCTCACTTGGCCAGCCGCGCTGCCCCGGAAACCCTGAAGCTCCTGCGGGGGTTTAAAGAAACACAAAATGATTCTACCAGAAATGTATGTAAAGAAATAGATGTGATACAAACTCTGCTTCAACAGGAATTCTTTATAGTTCTAGGAAAAATTCCTAAGAATTCCATAATCTGCGTTTATCAGTTAGAAGACCAAGAAAAAAAATAGCATCAGGAGAAAGAAAAGAAAATAAAACAAAATAAGAGAAAATAATGCTTAAAGATCAAGAACCTGTAGCTTGTCTGGATCTTTCACTTAGTAAGCTCAAAAAAGAACAGCAAACAAACAACGAAACCAAGTTAACTATTCTGGTGCAAATAAAAAAAGTATTTCACGTTTCACATTTTATACTGTTTTTTTAAAGAATTTATGAAAAAGAAAATACCTCCTCATGATTCTTCTTGAGATAAGCCAGTTCTTCAGTGAGGTTTTCAATCTGCATCTCCAAGTCAGCCCTTGTCAAGCTCAGTTCATCCAGGACTCTGCGCAGGCCGTTGATGTCGGCCTCCACGCTCTGGCGAAGAGCCAGTTCATTCTCGTATCTTTAAGGAAAATCATTAAATATATTTCTCCTGGGGTCAATAGAGTCGAGTGCAAATTTATAACTGTGTCATTACATAGCTTTTACTCTTAGTTGTTAATATATGTAATTTTCATAATGTTCAATAGTTACATTAAAGTATTCTACAAAGAAAAAATATTTAAATATACTAAAAAGTCGTGCATAAAATACTAATAAAAATTTTTGTAATATTGCGATATACTTACTTCAGTCTGAAATCATCAGCGGCCAGTCTGGCATTATCAACTTGCAGAATAATTCTTGCATTGTCAATAGTCGCGTTTATGATCTGAAATGCAAATAATTTCCCAAAAATGATTTAATAGCCTGGTGAGTTGCAGCTCAGTATAGCTATTTATGTGATTGTAATTCTAAATGTGATTATAAAATTAAGTGTAATTTTTTAGAACCTTGTATAGCATACCATGAAAACATTTAGGACAATTTTCAGCTTCTGTAAGTCCACGTAATGGAAAAGCACCAGTTTGCTTTCTGTGACTATGGGTAGTTACAGAAATTATGAACTAGAGTTCATAATCACTGCAGAGATTACCGGGGAGTTTGTGATATAGGAAACGAGAATTGCTACAGAATTGCAGATAACAGAGAAGGAAAAAACTCAGCATAATGTAATATCAAAGCAGTGTGACAGAGGACTGTTACAAGCGTCAAAAACATAGAATAAATCTGCTCTCAGGTTCTGAGAGGGGTTTGTAGATTTATCTAAGATCCTACTAGGTGACCTGCGGGTACAGAAGGCGCAGGGAGTGCAGTGCTTGTTACCTTGCTGCGGAGATCTTCGATCACCGGATAATATTTACTGTAGTCGTTCCCCGACCCAGCGATACCGGCACCAGGGCCGTTTTTCTCGTACCACTCCCGTATCTTGCGCTCCAGGTCGGTGTTGGCCTCCTCCAGGGCTCGCACCTTGTCCAGGTAGGCGGCCAGGCGGTCGTTGAGGTTCTGCATCGTTTCTTTCTTGGAGCCGGAAAGGAGGCCCCCATCCCCACCACCACCCCCTGCGCCAAACCCTGCACCACCAGCAAAACCACTTCCGAACGCAGCGCCTGGGACGCAC